GCTGAAGGGTTTTCCACATGAGATCTAGCCTGGTATCTGTACCAGTGTACATCCTCTGGTCTAGCCAGACTTGCAAGGTAGAATTGGGGTCATGATAGTGGCGGGGAGGAGGCATTTAGGAACTAGAGGGAAGGAATCCATTCCCTGTTTAGCCTCTGTGACTTGCATCCCAGAGGTGAAGCTGTGTTAAGAACCCCGTGTCTTGTGACTAGGGTTAATCTTCGACTGCAGGCGTCTCCTGGGGAACCTGAAACTCCTGGCTGGGGCAGCTCCAGCTCAGCCAAGGAGCTCTCTCCTGAGAAGGGAGCAGCCTGAGCTGCTCTAGACGAAAGGCTGGGGAGTGGTGGCAATTGCGTGGTACAGTGGATCTGGGTTGAGCACCAAGAGCAGCTTCTATATGTTTATGAAATGTGTTATTGTGCAAGAAAGAAGAGAAAAATTACTTGAGATTAAAAAATAGTTGATTTGTGTAAGTTTTGTGCTAAGTGTTGGTTGTTATTGTGCTACGGAGTCCATTCTCACTCTTAGCAACCCCGTCGAACAGAGAAGAACTAGCCATTTGCACACCTTTGGGGGCCATTCAACTAAACTCTGCACTAGGATTTCACTTCCTGGAACAATATTAATCCATGAGATCATACAGCTTTGATTGTGAGTGTGATGTGTGCAGTGGAGTCCCTGAGCAATACAAATCCCTAACAGGGCTAGTTGCTAACAGAACGGTTGGAGGTTTGGGTCCACACAAGAGATGCCGTCGTAGGCACATCTAGATCTTCTGAAAAATCAACTGCTGAAACCCCTATGGTGCCCCCAAAGAATTATGACTCAAAATTACCATCCCTCATTTCTACTCTAAGGAACCTGGGTGGCATAGTGGGTTATTAGTGAGTTGCTAACCATAAAGTCAGTGGTTTGAACCCACTCATGGGACAGAAAAATGAGGCTGTTTATTCTGTAAAGAATTAAAGTCTCAGAAACCCAAAGGGGAAGTTCTACTCTGCCCGATAGGGTCGGTAAGAGTGGGAATCCACTTGATGGCAGTGAGCGAGTTTTATTTTCATTCTAACATGAATGAGATCACTATGAGTTATTGTTGCTGCTGTGACTACCTGCTTCTCAGGATAGAAACCACATCCTTGGTGGTAACAAGCGTTTTCTGATATTTAGCCCCAGCCCGTCTGAAGTCTCCTTTCGTCAAAGGGATCAACAGCACGACCATCTATCTTCGGTGGCTCCCACCTGAAGAACTGAATGGGCCTTCTCCTATATATCATGTGGAAAGGAGAGAGTCATCTTTAGCAGCTCCAACAACCACAATGATGAAAGGAATTCGTTTTATGGGCAACGGGTATTGTAAATTTCCCAGCTCGGTTCTGCCAGTCAACACAGACTTTACAGGTAAGTGTGTTTGACATTGCTTCATTTAAGAGGCACTGAGCCCCAGGGGGTTTTCTATCATTTTGATACAACGTTACAATGAAAATCTTTATTATGCCTAGTTCTAGAAATATTCATTGTTTTTATGCACTTAACCCCAGTATATCCATATGGACACTTTTTCAGTATTCTGAGGAAAACAGAGGTAAATGGAGAAAAGGAATAATAATGAGGAAAGATTAAAATCTGCTGTATTGGATCAAAATATGTATTCAAGATAATTCTCATGTCATTCACTAAAAAGTCCTCAGATCATTAACGACTGAATAGTATTGGAGATTCTCAGTGCACATCAGGTTATAAAAGCCTCTTAGTAGAATTGTGACCAAAAACCTAGAACTTTTTAGTCCATTATTTCTAACATTTCATGTAGCTTTTTCCCCCCTTTCATGTGATATCATACTATTCCATGTTTGATTGAGAGCATATAAGAAGAACTAATCTCATGCAAAACACATGGACCAGGACTAGGGTAGGGTGAGGGAGGCGATTGACTCACATGCAGAATTTAGAGGCACCCAAAAGCGCAGTAATCAGGATAAGTAATATTTTAACTCATTAAAAAAATTAAACCAATGTGAAAAACCATGATGAAGGAAATATAAGAAATTTAAACTAAGAAAGATCTAACCTTGCACTTGGAAGCCCTGCCCCATCAGCCTCATCCTCCCCTCGCCCTGTCCGGTACTGGCAATACACTATTCTGGAATGCATTTGTCTCTACAAATTACAGTCTTTTAAAACACTCTTTCAGTATAAATACACAAAACTGGAACTATATACATACATACATACATAAATGCTTTATATATATATATAAATACATTGTAGCATATTGTTATTCTTTAACACATTGACTGTGTTAGGGGCAGAAAGATAGAAGGCGGGCTTTAAATGTAGCTCAGATATCATTGCTTGATTTTAACCTCAAATTGTAAATAGTTTGCTTTGGGGTGAGCCTGGCTGCTGATGTATATTTGCAATGAATCATGATTATGTTCTAGGTCAGCGATATTGAGATTAATGCATGCCTAACTTCTTGCCCAGTACATCAAAATCATCGCTGAATATTGCCTAATTCAACCATTGAACTCCCCTAAACAGTTCCACATCTATTTAATATTCTTCGATGATAAAAAAAGAAGAGATTTAAAAAGCACATATTGATGAACATTTTGTTTTGCCTTAAATGGAAATAGCACCGAGTACCTTCGGCATACGTTTGGCTTGTGCTGTGTGGCTCTGAGCACCCTGCATTCCTTTCCATTCAGCTGGGGGTGGCTGCTGTCAGGATGTCGGCTTGGATTTGCTGGCTAGCCAGCAGACAGGTTTGATGGTATCCCCTACTGTTGTTGCGGTGAAAGATAGAGTGGCCCATCCACCGTTAATAAATTTAGTTGTCCTCGCTGTCTCCCTTGCTGGCGTTTTACTGGGAGGTGCAAGGGCTAGGGGCAGATGTAGCATCTGGGAAGTTTTCCAAATTCCTCTTTTAAAAAGTTAGCTGTAAACAGCGGTCTTATGCAGCAGGATCCTTCTGTCTGTGACAAAGCCTCCAGATGCAGAGGAAATGTGCTGAGCGCACACAACCTGTGAAGGACAAGGCAGGGGGATCACGATTTTGCCTTTAACTGCTCCCGAGAGCTTTGGTGATTCCTAGAGAATAAGAGTTCGTCCTGAGTTGACACACTCCTGGGCATTGTTGGTGCCTTTTTATTAGTAGCTTTGCCTTCTGTTTAAGGCTCCCTCTCGGTGGTAAAGTAGCCAGGTCTATATCATGTTATTGGTTGGATTTTTATTGGCTCAATTGCCAAGTTTGGTTGAGCACATGCTTTTATTGAATTGAATCATAGTTTAACTAAATTTAATTGCTCAGCCAATTAAAGAGTGCTCCTTAAAAGTGATTTTTTTCTACATAGTGAAGTCAAGTTTATAATGGACAACCATTGGTTTACTAATGAATTATCTCATTCAATCCTTCTACAACTCTGTGTGACAGGTATATTCATGGGTGGTAAGGAGTCCAATAAGTGACTTGCCTGATATGATAGCAACTGGGTTCCAGGATTGGAGCAGGTATTCGAGAAGTCTGATTCAAAGACTTGCCCTCTCTCATGGAGCAGAAAGGAGCAGGCATTGAGGGTGTTTTATATGTGATGGAATAAAAAGCATATGTAAAAGTTAGAAATAACAAAACGCAGCTCAACATTGCTAGAGTGGCTATGAGTTGGCATAGACTCCACGGCAGTGAGTTTGATTTGGGTTAAACTTTCCTGATCTAAATACTACTCACCTTTGTGGGTTTGTCTCAGTTGTTAGTTTTCAGGTCGCAAAGAGTAAACCGAGCTGGCATTGTTTATTTATTTATTTATTTGCATGCTATAAGACATCTGAGAGTTGTATAGAATGTCAAAGAGAATCCATTTTATTCCCTAGCAATTAATCCAAAGTGTTATTGTAAGATAGATGTAGGATATATAAATGAAATTATGTTAAGTAGATTGAAGTGATATGTGCCAAACAGTGTTCCCGATTCACCTTTTTTATGCTTTAAACAATTTATATATTCTTGGGCAAGGATAATGACCAGGGAGTATGTCATTCATTAATTTCCGAATTCTATCCTTGGTGCAAGCAATCTGACTTATTTTTCATGAATGAAGCATGCATACTATATTTTTTAGGGTTGATTTTACTCCCCTTGCCTGTATGCTAACAGTGTTCTTTCAAAATAAATCTTTGGAGGCCTGGATTATCAATCATTAACATCAAGTATAAATTTGACACCATTTATTAGCTCCCAAACTCCTATTTGACTATGAATGGGAGAGTTGAGAGCAGACTAGTATGTGTCAATTTTAAGTCGCCATATGTCTTAAAAAAAAAACAACCCCAAAATGATCGCTGTTCATGCATTATGGTGAACCAGTGTATGTAAGAGTATACCTGTGCACCTAGGGTTTTTAATGGCTGTTTTGTAAAAAAAAAAAAAAAAGTAAATTTTAGAGTCTTTTCAGAGGTATCTCTGGGAATGCTCAAACCTCAAACCATTCACTTAGCAGTCAAACATGTTAATTGTGCTGCATCAGGGGCTCTCAATGTGCATTAGTGCACAGCTATCAGAAAAACAAAACAAAAGGGAAAAAAAGTCATCTTTCAATGTTTTTGTTTCCTTTTATTAAAATTTGGTGTAAAATCAATATCCAGGAGATAAACCAAAACACCTCACTGCCACCAAGTCAATGAAGATTCATAGCAATGGGAAGAACTGCCGCTGTGAGGTCCCAGGACTGGTTCCCTTTGGAGGAGTGGAAAGCCCATCTTTCTCTGTCAGCAGAAGAAGTAGTTTCGAACTACCAGCCCTCGCAGATTGCAGCGCACTGTGTAACCACTATGCCAACACGGCTCCTCTCTACAAGAAAGGGGAGAATTGAAGGCGAGAGCTCACTTAATGATCTTTGTACAATGCCTACCAAACATCGTGCCCACCACTCATTAAATGTTACTAGGTGCCGTGGGATCAATTCCAACTCAGAGCTATCCAATGTGACAGAATAGAACAGCCTCAAGGATTCCAAAGGTTCGTCCTTTACAAACGCGGATTTCCACCCTTTGCCCTGTGGAGCTGCTGGGTAGCTTTGAATTGCATGCGTTCAGTTAGTAGCTGAGTACTTAATCATTATACCACAAAAGATGCTTCACTAAACATGACCCTTTAGCTTGTAGATATTGAGCAAATAACTATGGAGTGTCAGAGTTTTCTAAGTAAGAGTCTTCTATAATTTGTAAAATCAATATTTTATTAATTCATTACCAATTACACATACTATGTTGTATAAATGTATACACACACCCCAGAGTGTGCATAACATGCAAGACTATATATCAAATACTTCATTTTTGTTATGGAAAATAGAGAACTCAATTTAACTGGGATTGAGATATTGGGTAAACTAATTTTGATTGATCTAATCTTGCTTACCTGTTAAATTGAGGGTGTATTAAATTAATAGTATCTCTGTTCTGCCATCTACAATTCTGAATTTCTAAATACAGAATGAGGTAGCTTCAAAAGGTTCTTTGGAAAAATGGAATTAAAAGAAAACAATTTTTGTTCAAACTGTTTGAACCCACTTCATATTTAAGTGGTTCCCCAAATCCAAAAGTGAAAGTGTTACCATAGCATCTGTAAGTTTAAAACACCAACTTAAAAAATAGATTTATTGGTGTATTATTTACATATGTACAATTTAATTATTTAATCATTTAGAATAGTGTGCAATGATCACCACAATCAATTTCAAAACATTTTCTTCTCATACTCATTGCTGTTAGCTCCCCATTCCCCCCACTACCACCTGCCATACCCCTAGGAAATTATTAATCCAGTTACAGTCTTTATAGATTTGTCTGTCCTGGATTTCCCATACAGAAAAATCATACAAAAGATGAACTGGAAGCCAACAAAAACAAACAAACAAAAATATCAAAACAGAACATAGAGAAACCGCAATAAAAAAGAAAGCATAAAGTATTAAAAACTGAAAAAAAGGTTAAAAATTGGGTCAAAAGAACATCAAATAAAAAGGTGTTAGATTTTAATCTAACTACATCTGCCACCTTTTTTCACTTCATGTAAAGAGGAGTTGAAAGCTTTAATGGTAAAGATCAAAGACTACAGCCTTCAATAAGGATATTTGTAAAGAAAACAAAAATCCCCATAACAGGAACATAAGCAGCAGCATAATAAGTAGAGAAAATATTGAAGTTGTCAAAAGTTTCATTTACTGAGATCTGCAATCAATGTCTATGGAAGTAGCAATCAAGAAATCAAACAACATATTGGATTGGGGCACATCTGGTTCACAAGATTGATTGAAAATGTTACAGAGTCCTGTGAGCACTCAGGTGAGCCTGGCCCAAACCATGGCCTGTTCAATATCCTTATATACAGGTGAAAGTTG